CTTCTCCCTCTCCCTCTACCACGCCCCCTGCTTGTGTGCTTGCGTGTGCTCTCTCTGTGTCAAAAAAAAATAAAATCTTAAAAAAAAAAAAAAAGTGACTAAGTAAATGTCCATTGCTCTACCTCTGCTGACTTCCATTCATTCCGCCAGAGCATCACTCCTCAATCCTGGTGACCATCTTATCTCCTTTGGGGACTAATATTAAAATTAAACAAACACCATGATATTCTGCCAAGAGGATTTTCATTTTCTTGCAGTTCCTTATGTGTTGATTTTGGAGAGCTGTATTTTGTGGCAAAGAGAGAACGAAGTTAGACTAGCCTCAGATACACACTTTTCAAAGTAACCCTTCTCTGACTAATTCCTCTAGTCTGACTGGTTTTACAGACGCGGGAGTTATAGAGTAGATTTTTCTGCTGCTGAAATGGCAGTTGGTTTCAAAGAACATTGACCCTTTCGAGCTACCTCGGGTGGACCTCTGGCTCCCCCTGATTGTAGGGGTGTCAACGAAGCAGGGAGGAAATGGATTTGCAGCTTTGTGTCCCGAAGCCTCAAGATGGAGGGTAGTAATGTGCCCCTATAAATCTGACTAAGCTGCTCCCAGCCTTGGCTTTTCCTTCTGCTGTCACCTGCCTTCCTCTGCTTGCCAAGCTTCTGCTTCTTCGTGGCTTTGGCTCACCATAGCCCTGACTCTACCTCATGGCATCCTTTTACCTTCAGCTAATGGAGTATCTCGTTCATTCAGATTCCTGAGGCAGGCAAGGATCTGGCCATTAGCTCTTCATCCAGGCCATGGGTCCTAGGGATGGCTCATGTGTGCATTGACTGGCCTTTGGCCCAAGGAAGGCGCCTGACCCATTAACTGTGCCCTAGAGGAGAGGAGCAAGACCCAAGTACTGACCGTGACCCTCACAGTTCAGCGGGGGGATTGTCACAGTAGGACAGGCACCACACCATCTCCAGAACAGGGGACTTAACAGTAGTTGCTTTTCCCTGTGAGCCTACATTAACACTAATTTTATTTATTTGTAGTCCTAATAGAGACTGGGACATATAGTTGAGATACGTGGCATTTTTAATACTGTTTTTTTCCTCCTACTGTTCTTAAGATAAATTGTAGAGTAGGTAGCAGCTCAGCGAGTTTGTTACAAAGACGACTTAGTTCTTATCCTCAGAAGTATTCTTGGATTTTGAATAATTTCAATTTTAGATAGCTTTAGCGCTTGTACGTTTGTGTTCCTTATACAGTGATGTATGTGGGTCTGTAGGCACTTGGAATTCTCTGTGTTAAGTATGTGTCTTGAGCAGCATTTCATACTTTCGTAACACAGAGTGTTGTGTGGAACTTCACTGAAGTGGAAAAAAAATCTCAGTAGTGGGTCTGTGTATGATTGTTGGGTGTATATTTATTTAAAGGATGGGATTTGTTTAACTGAAAATTTTAAAGCTCTTTGTAGAATGTTTGGCCGTGTTATTTAGAACTAGCAACTTCTTGCTACATTGCCAGTTAGTTAAGAACCCTCTTTAAGTTTTATTTTTTTACGCTATGGTAAAGCCAGAACACATTTTGTAAACATACATAGTTTGGCCTCTGCAGGTTTAAAAACATTTGACCCAACATTGAAAAATAGGGAAATTTCCACGTAAATCTTCAGGCTCTTGGATCCTTACGGTAAATGGCATGGTCTGGCAGTGCTGTTTGGAACCTGGGAGGCCGCGTGTCCTCCTTAGGTGCTTGCCACCCTCGGTGGGCAGCCCTGTGCTATTCTACAGACGCCGCGTCCACGGTCCTGCCATAACCATGGGAATTTGTATCCCCCTTGCAGAGAAAGATATGTTTTTATTGTAATAGACTGGGGAGGTGCCGGCACGTGTCTGTCTGTCTGCCTGGGAATTGCCCGTGATCTGACACCTACCGCAAACCTCTGTTAATACTTGAGCATGTTTTTTCAAGGCTTTCTGTGTATGTATCTGTATGTATCTATGTAGATACTTGCATAGATGGAGACATAGATCTATAACATTTCTTTCTGAAACAGAGTTATTGAGGTGTAATTGATACATAATAAACCGAACATACTTTAAAGTGTACGATTTTATAAGTTTTGGTATTTATAATCACCCTTTACCATAATCAAGATAATGACTGTTCCCCCCAAAGTTTCCTTACGTCCCTCTGCAACCCTCTCCTCTTCTCCGGTCCCTCTACCTGGGACCCCACCCCAGGCAACCACTGATCTATTCTCTGTCGTTGTAGGGTAGTTTGCATTTTCTAGAATTTTATGCATGTGTGGGTTTTTTAGCATTTGGGATGATACAGTTTTGCACTGTCCCCTTTGTACTTAGCGTGAGCGTGAGGAGCAGTGAGGGTGTACTCTTTGTTATGGTCACTGCCCTTTGTGTTCAGTGAGTTGTCTCTTTCCTTTCCTCTTGTTCTGCTGGTGTTCGCACTACTTTGCTTGGCCTGTATGAGCTCTGCACTTGTTAGCATGTTTTTCCTCATTGTTAGAAATACTCTCTAGGTTGTAATGTTCTTTTTATAATTTTAAGCTATTCTATGTATTATTATACAGAAGTTTTCTCACTGATGAATTATCAGATTTTGTAACCCTTTCCTGTGAGGCAGGGTATGTGCATGGGTTAGGGAGCATAGATGATCTTACCCTGGTTTTGATTGCCCTCGCACTCTGGAAGGGTCTCCGTGGGAGGGGAGGGGGGCGTTTAAGTGCATTTTCTCTAGAGCTGTTGGTGGTTCCTTGACAAGCATGGCTGCCAACCGGCTGAGCATTTGCCATTTTTATTGCCAAATGGCCTAGTTGATGAGGGTTGGAGAAACAAGTGGGTTTGAGTGGCCAGGTCTGGGTCCCTGGGATCTCCAGCACGTGTTGCAGACAGAGACTCATGTTGGACGGTGTTTTCTGATTCCTTTCAGCTCTGCTTGGCTTTGTGGAGGAGCTGCAGCACCACCTCACTGCATAAGGGATGGGATCAGAGAGCAGTGCTCTGAAGAGCTATGCGCTGAAGGAGCCACCTTTCACCTTACCCTCTGGGCTTGCCGTTTACCCCGCTGTTCTGCAAGATGGCAGATGCGCTTCCGTCTTCGTGTATAAGAGAGAAAACGAAGACAAAGTTAACAAAGCTGCCAAGGTACGGTGATGGGTGACGGCTTCATAGTTAGAGCTTTCTACCCTCTCGTTTTCTATTAAAAAATACGAAATTGAAATTACTAAAGGTACAAGGAGGAAGATCATAAGGAATACTGTTCCTATTCATATCCTTTAAGAACATAGTTGTCCTTACTTCATGGGATAATCTCCCAATTTGCGTGACACAGTCAGATACCACAGATATAGCCAAAAGGCTTCATAAAACTCGGTGTGGTAACTTTTATCATTTTTTTTTTTAGTGAGAAGTTCAGAAGGTAATTTTCTATGGCTAATATGAGGTAAAGGAAGTTACTGTAGCTTAGCAAAAACCTCTGAGTATTGACATTCTGGGAAGTATATTTTTTAATTTGTAAGATCTATTCTTTTATTTATTTTAATTTTTAACTTTTTAATTTTTGTATTTTAGTTTTTAAATTTGAATGTAGTTGACACACAATGTTACATTAGTTTCAGGTGTACAACATAGTGATTCGACTTCTCTGTGCAGTATGCTGTGCTCACCATTAGTATATTGATGATGGACCTAGAAATAAAATATTTTAGAAACTGTGACTACTGTTTTTTCTTTTCCCGAGGTACTCTGAGTCCCCAGAAAGATTGTTGAGCTGGAGTGTTGGGCTGGACACCCCAGAAAGAACGTTGGCCCTGGGCTCTAGTTCTTGCTGAGGGGCCTTAGTCAGATCATTCACTTCTAGAGGCTTCAGTTTCCTCTTCAGGGAAGAGGTCCTCCCAGCTTGCACCTTCTGGCCGCTGCTCCTGGAAGGGTGCTGTCAGGGGACCCCAGCCTCTTATCAGAAACATGATTGTACCTTGGAATATAATTCAATAGAGCAATCCTGAGTGTCATTTTGAATTAGAGAAAACAAAGGCATTAGTTGGTATTAGTTGGTATTTCCTTGGATATTGAGCCATTCAGATTATCTTCGGGAAGGTTCTTCAGGGGACGCAGAGTTGTGGCTGTTCAGTGTTAACGGCAGGCACGCTATTTTCAGATGGACCTAGAGCTTTGTTTTGTTAGAGTTATGATCTGTATTACCGTGAGTCCCTTCGTGCTAGCAATAAGTAGGAGACAGGGATATCTATTTCATAGGTCTTTTTAAATGGCTTTTACCTTTTTTAATGATTATAAAGGGTTTTAGTATGTATCTCTATTAGTAATAAAATTTCAGCATTTTATTGGTCACATCAGTTCATTATTTGATGTTATTTGATCAGGCATGAAGTTAACAGTTATGGTGCCTAAGGAAAATGTTCCCCTTGGGATGCATTTTCTGTTAATTGTGGTAAAAAAGATAGCTGGCTATTTCGTTGCTAAGTAATTTTGCTTTTTGCTAAGACCATGTTTTTGTCTTTTCCATCCCGTCCAGGTACTATTAATACTTTTTATTGTGATTTTGCAAAAGATAAAATGCTTTGCTTCCCTGTCATATTCTTATATGCAATTCATATCTGACATACTTCCAGCTATTTTCATTTAATGAGATTGCACGTTTTTTTAAGTAAAAGAATTAGAGTGATTAGGATGATTATTACTAGTGAAATACTAGAGATTTATCATCTTTCTTAGTTTTTTTTTGTAAGACCATAAGATTTTTTAATATTATATTACTCTTTATGGTGTATGTACCAAGAAAGTTTGAAAAACCCAGATCATAAAGTTTTTTTGTTTTGTTTTTTAAGTAGGCTCTGCGCCCAGCATGGAGCCCAGCACAAGGCTTGATCTCACAACCCTGAGATCAAGACCTGAGCTGTGATCAAGAGTCAGATGCTTAACCAACTGGGCCACCCAGGCGCCCCCAGATCATAAAGTTCTTAAAGGAAAAAAAGATCTGTCAATGTTTGAGGACTTCTGGGCGGGAGGAATTTCAGAGCTTGAGAAGGAACATTTTTTCTCCCCTTAGTACCTACTCTTCTAAACCATGGCTGAGTCTTTTCCAGTAGTTCTTACTTGTCTCGTATGTTCTGCAGGCCATCTTGTGGCTTTGAATACCTGATACATGAATCTGAGGAATTTGAAATGGCAACAAAACGATACGGAGTTTTGAGTTAGATCACAGTACTTGAAAAAATATATCACGTTTCATCAGGTTTTAGGACCTTGATTTTCCTAGATACCTGAAATATTAAAACAGTATAGTTAGCGCACCTCACTTTCTCTAGAGTTGAGGCTCCCTGGTCCTCCCTCTGATAGTTTTAATGACCATTTCAAGAGGATATACAATGTTTTCCTTGCAAATATTGTTAGGTTGTAAATGTGCTCTTCCTCTAGTGTTACAAATAAAAAAACAACAGTCACAGTGCCCTGTGACCTCTGGAATAAGATGAAACGCAGGCATAACCTTTGGCCACAAAACAGCATTACAAATTCTTCGAGTCCATCAGATCTTCTCATTTTATCTTGAATTCATTAGCTATAATAGTAAGTTTTCTCCCTGGTGGTTATGACTCATTTCTAATGAATAGTCAGTAAGGAATGATAACTCCTAAATCAGAATTTGGTTACTGTGGTTTGCTGTCATCTGAGTGCTTCGTTAGGGCCTCACAGGAAGGACAGACTCACAGGCTGATTCCTGACTGTCTTCATGCTACCAAGGCAGCCACACTGACTGCAGGAATACGAATGTGGATGCTGTGCACCTGCCTTGGGAAAAGGATGCTCTTCTTCATGATGGATTCAGCTGCTTTCTGGAAGGGCCAATTAGCATTTTTGAGAATGCACATTGTGTGGTGATGAGCAGAGAAGAGATGACTGCTTGCATTAATCACTTGTGGAGTGCTCTACTGCTCTTCCTTGTGTTGACGTGTTCTTTTTGTTCCTCTCCTCCTGAGGCCTTTTCTGTGCTATTTACAACCCTTATTCCAGTAAATCAACTTCCCTATATTGTCAGCTTTTAAAAAAAAAATAATTCCTTCCCGTATAATCAAAATCTGGTTCTCTTATAAGTCTCCTGAGCATTATCCACTCAGAACTTCAGAAGTACCCCCTCCCCCATCCCTCAGGTATGTTGGGCCACTCCAGATGGCGCAGGCCCCTTCCCAGCCCCCACAAGTTTTCAGACTTCATTTTCTCCTCCTTTCCCTCTAGTGCTTACAAGCGTCTGGCCTTCTGCCCCAAGTGAACTATCTGCCGAAACCTCTTCTCTGAGCTCCAGATCCACATTCTCACTTGCCTGTGGAAATCTCAGCCTGGATATTTCATCAGCACCTCTAATGCGGGCTTTCCAACATAGGATCCTTTATTCCTTTCCCCTCCTGCATTTTATTCCTTGTTTCTCATATAACCTCTAGGTGTTGGCATTTAGAGACAATGTACTTCCATCGTTGTCTCAGGTTTGCATCTTAAGAGAAGAAGGAAGAATATTTCTCCCTGAAAATTCTTGCTCTTAGTTTAGGCATCTTGATTATTTTGTCATATTTCTTCAACAGAGTGAAATTATGGCTTGCTTCCTGTCTAAAAACTTGCAAGTGAATTTGAGCTAAATAATGAGTATGTTGTGTAGTTCTCAAAGTGAAAGAGCAAACCGAGGTAGAATGGTAATGAAAAGCTAAGCCCCTAAGGCTTGAATTACTCTGCTATAGCTGAGTCATAACCCATTCCTGAAAACTAGAGTTTATATTCAAGACTTGACTTTCACACTTAACATCTCTGTGTGGGCATGGATAAGTACAAATATGGACAGATTATCCAGTGCTACTCACTTTTTTTCCTGAAGATTTTATTTATTTATTTGACAGAGGGACCACAAGCAGGGGGAGTGGGAGAGGGAGAAGCAGGCTCCCCACGGAGCAGGGAGCCCGACGCAGGGCTCGATCCCAGGACCCTGGGATCATGACCTGAGCTGAAAGCAGGAGCTTAACTGACTGAGCCACCCAGGCGTCCCTAGAACAGATGATACTTTGAAGGCACTCCTTCCACAAAGTCCCCCTTTTCCACCAGAACAAGAGTCATTTATCTCTTTGGTTGATGTTAGTGAGAAAATCTCCTCGTTAAACTTAGCAGGTGTATCTTGTCACGCTAATTTTCCTGTGAATCTGTATGCATAATTTATGCAAAATATTGTGCATGCTGAAGAGGAGTAACAAATGAGGTTATTGCTGCTAAGTTAAGTGCCTTGTTCAGAATCATGCAGTGAGTTATTCCTTCCTTTCTTCTTCATTAAACAAACAAGTCACTGTGGACCAAGAATTCTGCTGGGAATGTAGGGTTAAAAAAATAAGCTAAATGAAATTTATTATTTCATTTTTTAATGGGGTGAAATTTACAACTCTGTATTTTTATGCCAGTACTCAACCAGGTAGTATTTCTCCTGATTTACTAGTCTGCCCTGAGTATTAGAGGAATAAAAGAAGGCACATAAAACCCAAGGAAAATAATTAGAACCCTAAGAAATAAAAGCTGAATGAATATTTTTTTTCCTGAGCAGGCAAAAGTGAAAAGTTAAAAAAGTATTTGATTTTTGTTTTGCAAATTATTTAAAATGATTCTTAAAATGCAAAAATATGAAAGAGGCTGCATAATTTTACTCAGAAACCATAGCTCAAAAGATACTTGCAAGAAGTTCTCTCCACTTAACTCTAGTCATTCACCCAGCTCACTAGCACAACTCATGGCTCCTCTGGGTCTTTGCTGTATTTGTATCCGTAAGTATGGATTATTTTAAAGGCATATGCACAAATTAATAGTTCAGAATTGCTAAAGAATTTTCTTAATTATTTTTTATTAGAGTAACCCAGGGGAGGGTAACAGCTTTCTTCTTAAGAATAAACAAAAAATCCTATTGAAGCTATTCCTAGAGTTGTCAAAGTTTGAGATTATTTTAAGAAAAGAAACTAAACAAATCCATCTCCTCAGAAGATTCTCCTATAGTTTTACCTAATAGACAAGTTTGAAGCGACTGATAGAAAACTTGTATCAGTGCTGTGTTATGGGCTCTTGTACGATCTCATATTCTTCCAAGAAGGTATTTTGGAATGGTCCATACTGAGTGCTTATTTGTGAAAATGAAACCTGATGTTATATTGAGGATTTTTCTCCAAGTGAAATCTTCATTGGTCTCCCAGTTTGATGGTTGATTTACAAGGCTTCCGCAGTGTCCAGTGGATTGTGCAGGACAGACCCCAGAGATTTAAGGCCATGTAATTTCTTTTAGAAAAATTGGGTGATTTGTAAGGAGAACCATCATTCTGGCATTTTAAATTTTGTTGTAAATAAATGATACAGTTATTACTACCTGGGTTGGGAATTGTGGACTATCAGTCTAATTGGAAAGTCTGCATCTGATAGGGCTGTTACAAAACCAAGCAGGGTAGGAAAGAAACCCCGCAGATTTAACCTTTCATAGACACAACATTGTCATGTGTTTGTCATCCATCTTTGTATACTCTGTGTCTGGTTAGAGAACAGGACGATGAAAAGAGGTATGTATGGGGGAAAATACTGTATGTTAGGGATTTCTAAAGTGGAACATCCATAACCTCGGGATTGTGCAACATGATTCATTGCAGTTTTGGGGGAGAAAATCAAGAATGTCTGTTTAAATTCACTTTTGATCTTTTCTTTCGGCACGTTCTATTTTATGGGGGTTTTATGGTATTTGTATTTAATTTATATATGTAAATGAAAAATGTGTATTATAGATACATATATGAGCTCTACTTATCTAATGTTTCTACTGGTGTGAAGCGTGTGAACAAAAATGTTTAATGCTAACTTTTCTAGATTAATAAAATGGTAACAGTTGTAAAGATGGTGAAACATTTTTAAGGAGATTAAGTGCTTGATAAAGAGGTAAATGTAAGAAAACAAGATCAACAAAAGACATCTAAGGTACTCATCCATTTAAAATGACTTTATGGCCCAGCGTAGACTCTTGTTTCTGGGATTCTTTCTCCTGTGAAGAGTGTGTGTTCTGCAGTCACTGGGTCTAGTGTTTTCCAAATGTCAGTTTGATTAGGTTTCCTGTGCTTTCATTTATTTTTTGTTTGTTTGCTGTTGCTAGTTCTGTTGATTGCTGAAAGAGGAGTTTTAAAATCTCCACCTGTGATCCTGGAATCGTGGAATTGTTTCTCCCTTTCATTTTTGCTCCATGCATATTTTGAGGCTCTGCTGTTAGGATCTTCCACTTCATAGTTGTGATGTCTTTTTAATGAATTGTCCTTTTATTCTTTAAGAAATGTCCCATTTAATCTCTTGCAGTACTCTGTCTTGAAGTATATTTTCTCTGATAAGAATATATTCACTCTAGCCTTCTTATGCTTACCGTCTTAATGGTATATCCTCTTCTGTCCATTCAGTTTCTATCCATTTACCTATCTCTGTCTTTATATTTAAAGTCAGTCTCATAGGCAGCATATTGTGGTCTTCCTCTTTTCTTAATTGGAATGTTTAGATCATTAACATTTCATGTAATTATTAGTGTTGTTGACTTTTATTATTTGTTATTTGTTTTCTATTTGCTCCCTTTTGAATTTTGTTCTTCTGTTCCCCTTCTCTTTTTTTGGTTTATTTAAATAGCTCTTAGTATTTCATTTTACCTTGATTTTTCAGCTACATTTCTTTATACTTTTTAATGGTTGCACTAAGGATTTCAGTTTAATAACTAGCTCTTAATCATCTATCTGTGGTTAGTATTGTACCAATCACATAAAACGTAGAAACCTTGGAATCAGATAGATGTCTCTAGCCCCAGCCCTACTGTCCTTTTGTTACATACATATCAACTGTCTACACACACAGATACACGGTTAACCCTTGACCAACACTGGGGTTAGGGGTTCTGATTCCCCACACAATTGGAAATTTGTGTATAAGTTTTGACTCCCCCAAAACTTAACTACTAATAACCTACTGTTGACTGGAAGACTTGTTGATAAGATAAACAGTCAATTAACACATCTAATGTGATACGTATTATATACTGTATTTTTACAGTAAGGTAGGGTAAAGAAAATGTTATTAAGAAAGTCATAAGGAAAATCCATTTACAGCACTGTGCAGTGTTTATTGAAAAAAATCTTCATAGAAGTAGATACACAGTTTAAACCTGTGTTGTGGGGCACCTGGGTGGCTCAAGTCGGTTAAGCGACTGCCTTCGGCTCAGGTCATGATCCTGGAGTCCCGGGATTGAGCCCTGTGTCGGACTCCCTGCTCAGCGGGAAGTCTGCTTCTCCCTCTGATGCTCCTCCCCCTCATGCTCTCTATCTCTCATTCTCTCTCTCTCAAATAAATAAATAAATAAAAATCTAAAAAAAAAACAAAACCTGTGTTGTTCAGGGTCACCTGTACATCACACACATTATAAACCTCACTCAGCAGTGTTGTGGTGTCTGCTCTAAATAGTCATATATCTTTTAAATAAGAAGTAAAAATGTAGCCTTCGAATCGATCCGATATTTGCCATTTCTAATGCTCTTCCTTCATTTCTGGAGATCCACATTTCCCTTTGGTATCATTTCCTCTTCAGCTTAAAGAGCTTCCTTTAGCGTTTTTTATAGAGCAGGTCTTCTGGCAATAAAACTTTTCTGTTTTCCATGATCAAAAATGCTTTTTTTTACTTTTTTTTTTCCTGTAGGATATTTTTGCTACATAATTCAGGGCTGATACTGTTTTTTTCTGCCAGTGCTTTAAAGGTGCTCCCCTTTGTCTTTTGGCCTCTGTGTTTTCTGATGAGAAATTTGCATCATTCAGATTGTCATTCCCCTCCACATAATATGGTTTTTTTCTCCAGCTGCCTCTGAGATTTTTTATTTATCTGATTTTCTCTAGTTTGATGATAATGTGTATAGATGTAGTTTTCTTTGATTTATCCCGTTTGGTGTTCATTGAACTTCTTAAATCTGTAAACTTAAGTATTTGGCTGAATTTGGAAAGTTCTCAGCCATTACATTTTTTATGTCCCGGTTCTTTTCTTCTCTTTCTTGGGACTCCAGTTATATATGTTAGGCCTTTTGTTATTGTCACACAGTTTCTTGATGCTATGATCACTTAAAAAAAATAAAGAACTTTTTCTCTTTGTTCTTCAGATTGGTTGACATAGCCAGGTTCACTGACGCTTGCCTCTACCATCTGCATTCTGTTATTGAGTCCATTCATTGAATTAGTTTCTAATATTTTATTTTTCCTTCCTAAGACTTCCACTTATTTTAAATAACATTTCTTTCTCTGCTGAAAGCTTCTTTCTATTTATTTCCTGTTTTCCTTTACCCCTAGGGAAGAATGGTTATAATATAATGGTTAAGCTGCTTTAAATTTTTTCTAATAATTCTAATATCTTGTCAATCTTGGGATTGATATTTTTTGGTTGTCGTTTCACTTTTTTATGGTTCTTTGTTGAGTAAAACTATTTTGGATTGCATCCTGGACATTTTGAATGTCACGTTGCATAGACTCTTGGTTCTGTTAAAATCTTCTGGAGATTCTTGATGTTTTTGATTTAGCAGGCGGTTGATCCCCTTTGGTTCAGGCTTCAAGTTTTCTAACTACTCTCCTCCCACCCTTCGTTCCTGAGTGTGGTAGTTCAAACCTCAGTTCATTTCTCAAAAGTTTGTTCCGCTGGTTTGGGTCTGTTTTGTCCATGCCTCCTTCGTTCAGGAGTTAGTCTGAGACCTGTGTGGGTATACAGATAACCAGAGCATCTCCTTCTCCAGTTCTTTCCCCTCTGGGAAATCCTCATACTCAGGCTTGTCTTGGCTCCTTTCTGTCCTTCTTCTGGCCAGAAGGATGGCAAGGTCTCTGTCAGAGTTTTAGCCATCTTTGCTACCCTGCTCTGCGAGCGGGGCCTGCCTTCAGTTCACAACTGTGAGAAGGGCCAACCTGACACCAGAACCCGTACTCCCACTGCTGTCTCTTCTCCTAACTTTGACTCCGCTGCGTAATCTGTGTGCTTTTTTTACTTTGCCAAGTTCTTGGGTCATTGTTTTTCGTACTTTGTTCAGAGTGTATGGCAGTAATCATTGGGAGGCCTGGGCTCCTAGGGGCTTACACTGTCGTAAGGGAACCGGAAGTCTCTGTAGATTTATTTAAATGTTGGTAAAGTGAATGAAGTCAGAACAGGTCGTAGATTTTCCTGTGCCTTATTTGAAGTTTAGGGGGGTAGGTGAGGAGCTGGGAGGGACCTTGAATGCAAGTATACATGTTCAGACTCTGACTGCGATATGTTAGTCTGGTTCTGAGTCATTAACTCTACCAACCCCTTCCATTTGTATTTTTAAAGCATTTGAAGACACTTCGTCACCCTTGCTTGCTAAGATTTTTATCTTGCACTGTGGAGGCAGCTGGGATTCATCTAGTCACTGAGCGAGTGCAGCCTCTGGAAGTGGCTTTAGAAACGCTGTCTTCCGCAGAGGTCTGTGCCGGGATCTACGACATACTGCTGGCTCTCATCTTCCTTCATGACCGAGTAAGTAACCCGGACACTGTCTGCCTCACAGGCCTTGCTACAGACCGGAGGGTTGATGTGTGTGGTAGTGCTTTTAAGGTATGGGAGGTACAGAAATCATAAGTTGCTATTCTTACTTGAGTCTTCCGGAGGAAAACAAGCACCTTGGAAGGCACCAGAAGGGCTCCAGACAGGTGGTTTGTGGAATGGGCAAGGGCTTCTCCAACCCTGGGCAGTTTTTTATAGAACTTTATTTCGGTTTACTATTGTCTCCCTCTAGTTTGGGGGAGTCTTTACCTAAAAATACCTGCAGCTGGTATTACTGTTCTTAAGGCAAAGATAAAGCCTTAACACTGATGTTGCTGTGGACCAGAGTTCCTACTTGGTCCCAGTTTTGTTACATTTTAGATTTTGAGGGAAGAAATGACCATTTCTTAGAAAAAGGCAGAGCTTTACACACCCCTTCTCATTTGAGTGGGTGGTGCTACTGAGGGACAGCCTTTTTTTTTTTTTTTTAAGGTTATTTATTTATTTGAGGGAGAGAGAGCGAGCACTAGTGGGGGGAGGAGCAGTGAGAGAGAGAGCAGCAGGAAGCTCCATGCGGGGCTGGATCCTGGAACCCCAGGGTCACGACCTGAGCCAAAGGCAGACGCTTCACCAACTGAGCCACCCAGGCGTCCCAAGAGACAGCCTCGTAACACTGTGGTTAGGTTTGCTCTTAAGGGGTAAGGGTAGAGTGCCTATGTTTACTTCTGGCCTGTTTCTTGACAATATTATTGAGCTATATCTTAATGGAGTGCTAAGGCCTTTGGCAGCCCTCCAAGATTAAAAATTACTGGTCACAAGTTAGAAACACTTGCATTTGACTTATCTCAGTGTATGTTTTTTGTTTTTTGGTTTTTTAACTTTTTCTATTAATGGGAGACCGATTCCAAATATCACTTTGGATTTATTGTCTCTTAAAAGTATGTCTAAGATTTATACAAAGAAGAATTAGTGCTTCACATGGAGGACTGTTTTCCTTGTTGGAGAAAGTACACGCACATGGTAGAAAGTTTGACTAGTGTGAGAGTGCATGTAGGGAAGAGTAAGCCCCCCCACCCTGAATCCAGCACCCCACCTCTCTCCAGAAGCAACTATGGTGATCAGCGTATTAGTCCAGAGATGGTCAGTGTGCATATAAACCAAATGTCCTGTACTTATTCTCCTTTGTTTTTTCTCAAATGTAAAAATACCATACATACTATTCTGAACCTTCCTTT